ACTCTTTCCTTCTCTTTTGCCCTCCTTTCTTTACACCCACCCTCCCTCTCTACTTTTGTATATTTGAAAGGAAACTAAAAAGAGCTAATTTTTTTGGTGATTGAGTCATTTTGACTTCTTTCATCACATATTCCTGGGACTATATAGTTTCCAATTTTGTGAAATAAAGAGAGTTTGAACAGGATTAAAGAAGTGTGGGTAGGTCTAGGACTGGAATATAGCTAATTTCACCAACCCCACTTACTCTGAACTAAAACTTCCCTGCTAGAATTCCCATTATCTACATACCAGGAGAAACTATACACTTTCTTCTGTCCTGCTACTCTAGTGGGTGAGTCCGACTGCACTGCAGTAACAAAAATACTGCAGGAATATCTCTATTGAACTTACGGAGTTTAAAAAGTGTAACATGCATCTAAGGGAGTCAGATCTATGGTCTCTAGCCTTGACGCAAACTTGACACAAACTTTCTTCATGTAGCTTAATTTCACTTCTTCATTTCCTCTTCCCTATGGCAGGGGGACACTAGAAACATGCAGAATAATGTTTTGGACACCGTGTTCTGGTTATGAAGCATGTAAGAGTCTTTTTAAGTATAAAGGTGACAAACATTTTCACCTCCCTGACACAGAGTTATGATTCGACCTCTATACTTACCTTGAATAAACAATGCATTTTTTTTCCCAGAAGGAAAATAGCATTTTATAACATGTTTTAAAATGACCTGACCTGGCAGCTGAGGTATCCCTGAAAAACTGCGCCACGTCCAGGGAACGTGTCTGCTCTTACATTTTTTTTTGCAGAAGAGCAGACGCGCTCTTTCAGAAGCCCGGTCTTCCTCATTTCATGAGGAAGAAGTGCACTTCCAAAAGAGGAGGCTTTTCCGAAATTTGGCCCAGTGTAGATGGGCCAAATTTTGGAAAAGCTGCTCCCCCCCAAAAAATCGGAAAAAGGTACGCAAATTGCAGAGCACAATTTGCGTACCTTTTTCTGATAAAACTCTGTAGTCTTGACGTAGCCTGATAACATTTCTCAGTCAACAAGACTTCACTCTCAAAACAAAGTCACTACATATTTGGTGCAAGTAATTAGAGAATCCTAGATCTATATTCTTAGCTCATATCATCAGATGGAATATAATTCATGTGCAACAACTGCTGTGTGAAAACCATATTAAGTTCCTATGTGAGAGGGTGTCCTGGGAAGCTCTCTGTATTAGTGACACCACCTACTGGTTGTCCTGGGGATTAGCTCTGCCAGGCATCACACCCACATTTGCTGGTGTCTCTCCATGTCCTCTCTCACTCCAGGAACTGCAGCCTCCTCTTTGTGACACTCCTTCATCCAGGTCACTACATGGCTTCCTCTTCTAGGGATTATCAAATGTCCTTCCATGCAAACTCTCTCAAGTAGTCTTCTCCAGCAGTGCCTTGTTGGTGCCTCTTCCCCAGTGGCTAGTAGTGGAACCCTGGCCCAAGTGCCAGTCTAGAGACACTGAATTCAGTAGTTCTGGGCTTTACTCTCTCAGCTCTCACTGCTCCTTCCCTGGACTGCTTCCTACTCTTCTTGTTCCTTCCCTTTCTCTGGGAGTACTATTTCCAAATCCTCTTTCCAGTGAGTGGCCTTTGTCTGTTGCTTGCTTCCTCACTCTTTATAGTTCCTGACTGTTCCTGCTCAGGAAGGGTTGCCAAGTGACCATTTTTCGAGCAGAACACTTGGCTGAAAAATGACCCTGGGTCTCTGGTCAGCACTTACTGCTAAAAGTCCAGTTAGTGTTACAGCAGGGCTAAGGCAGGCTCCCTACCTACTCTGGTTCTGCACAGTTCCCAGAGCAGTTGACATGTTCAGCTCCTATATGCAGGAATAGCCATGGGGCAGCAGTGGGGGCAATACTTTTTTATGAGGAGGGCCACTCCATGAATTTGGTAAGTGGTCAAGGATTGAAGTTTTCCATGATATTAATGGAGGAGGTGTGATGGAGGTTGAATGCAGATGGGACCTTGGGGTTAGGAATTGGGGTGCAGTAGAGGGTATGGGATCTGGGTGGGAGTTTGGTTAAAGTTGGAGGTTGTGATCTGGGACAGGAGAGTGCAGGCAGAAGGGAATGGGGATGGGTGCAGGAGAGGATTCTTACCTGGAGGAGAGGTGTATGAGGGGGTACAGAGATCTGAGTTGTGACCAGGGATAAGTCTGGGGGGCAGGGTCTGGGAGGTGATAGAGTTTCAGGAGGGGTGTAGAGTCTGGGAGAAGATAGGGATGCAGGAGGGGACAGTGTTCGAGTGAGGGAGGGGCTGGAGTACCAGAGGCAGGCTCTGGCTGGGCAGCACTTACCTGGGCAGTTCCTGGCCAGTAGCACAGCAGGTTCTTCGGCCAGGCCCCTTGCCTTCCATGCTCCCCGCACACCACTCAAAGCAGTTGTGGGGGCCTTGTGCTGCTCTGAATGCTGTGAGTTGGAGGGGGAAACCAACCAATGGGAGCTGCGAGGTTGTGCTGGGGACAAGGACAATATGCATAGCCTCTCCCTCATTCCTCCTGGGCTTTCAATATTCAGAGAGCGCCATGCAGGGGCAGGGCAGACAGGGAGCCTGGATGTGGCTCCTGCTGGGCTGTGGGCTGGATAGAGCAGCTTGATGGGTCAGTATTTTGCCCGTCCCTCCCATGGGGTCTCTGCACACTGCCCCCACCCTGTGCACAACTTTGCAGCTCCCATAGGCTGAGAAATGTGGCCAATGGGAGATGCTGAGGCAATGCCCCCTGTTCCCTTCCTTTAGGAGCCGGGTATGTCAGCTACTTCCAGAAACTGCCTGAAATAAATGCCATTTAGCCAGAGCTGCACCCCAACCCTGCCCCAGGTAGGAACCCTGTCCTGCCCCCTAACTCCCTCCCAGACACTGCATCTCCTCCCATACCCCCTTCCACTGCCCTAGCCCAGAGCCCCTCTTGCAGCTGAAACCCCACATCCACCATCCTTTACCCAGCACCTACAGCCAGAGCTAACATCTCAACCAAAGTCCTTACCCCTCCTGCAGCCCAGCTCCCTTCCCCAGCCAGATGAAAGTGAATGAGGGTTGGGGAGAGTGAGTAATGGAGGGGAGGATGAGTGAGTGGAGGTGAGGCCTCTGAAAAAGGGTAGGGGCAAGGCCTCAGGAAAGAGGCAGAATGGTAGTGGGGCAAGAGCATTCAGTTTTGTGCAATAAGAAAGTTGGCAACCCTACAACTGATCCTGCTTGCAGTCAGTTCTCTGCTTCCCATCCAGGTGTAACCTGGGGAATTAATTAGCCTGATGAGTGATCTTAACCCCTTCCAATCTTGTGTGGGGCAGACACCCCATTATAGGCCTCTGTGATTTAAGTAATTTAAGTGTCATCATTTATTTTTATTTTTTAATTAGTACCACCTACCAATAAAAAAAGGGGTTTCCTTAGCCCAAATATTATATAAATTATGTGATATTTGCAATGCAATGCAAACTATGTGCTATGTGGATGTGAACATTGGATGTCCAACCTGGAAATAGATATAGGACACACTGGAAATTAAATTGGATTATTGATATGTATTTTGTGATCTGCTAGTTAGAGCACAAAACTCAGTCAAGAGCCCTGGACTCTGTGTGGGGGGAAGCTGCATGGAGTGCAGTGTTCAGCTGATTTTGTTATTGTTTTTAAGGATGTGGTGGGTTGTGTAGTCGAACTGTTTAGCATGCTATTTAAAAAAAATAGATTAGGCCCTGATTTTGGAAAGCCCCTTAACCTGTTCTTAAATCCACCTCTATTCAGGAAAGCATTTAAGCATTTGTTTAAGTTCTGTTGAACTCAGATTTAAGCACATATTTAAATAAATGCCTATGTACCCTTCCTGATTAGAAATGTTTTCCTGGACCAAGACCTCCAAATGCACAGGAGGAACACAATAATCCATTATGAAATCCACAGCCAAAATTTTCAAACCAGCATGCTTAAAATGAATACCTATAGCCATATGTAAGCACTTAAAATCTCTTATATTTCCCATTTATTTTAACGGGAGTTCTGGATCCTCCAACATCTTGGAAAACTGGCCATTCATTTAAGTGCCTAAATGACAATGTAGGTGCCTAATCTAAAGAACCCGCATTTGAAAATTTTGGGACCCACAATTTTTGGAACAAAGACATGGAGTCCCAGAGTTCACATGTTTTTAAAAAATTACATTATTTCCCCCGCTTTCACCATCTTCTTTCTTTTTTTGTAACAAAATCTTTTTACTTCATTTGATCTCTCTGTAAAATGTGTATGATGCCTACTGCATAGCAACATTTTGAAATCATTTAGAAATGTTAAGTTTTAATTATGGGAGAATAGACCTAAGTCAATTGTATGCATGGAATACTGCAATGGATTCAGAAAACACAGTGCCAAAATATACAGGGCCATAATCTCTCATATGCTCTGCTTGTTTATGCTTCTTTGGTGAAACAAAGTAGCTGTACATTCAGTTTAACTGATTAAAAGTCTGATTTACAGCTGTTTTACATTGTTGAAGCATCAGAAGCATCCACAGTATACCTAAGAATCTGAGGGTACGTCTACACTGCGTTGCTCTTTCGGGATACTGGAAGTATCCCAAAATAGCACGCTGTGTCTTTAAAAGCGCCCACTATTTCCTGAAATAGCGGACAAGCT